CATATATATATATATATATATGATACCGGTTACTCTTCAATGAAAACCATGGCAGTCAGACCTCCTGGATGTTCTCTGCGGGCAGCTGGTCCGATCTCAGGAACTCGAGGATGGCCCCGAAGTGGGAACCGTCGCGGTCGATGAAGTAGCGGCCCTGCGCGTCGGCGCGTGCTTTGGGCTGTCTGCTGAGCAGCTCGGCCAGCTTGGAGTCTGGGTGTTTCCTGAGGGTGCTCACAGAGGTGCTGAACAGCTGGCCCCCGACATTCAAATGCACGACGGGAGAGTGCTGAGAGTGAGAGTGAGAGAGAGAGAGAGAAAGAGAGAGGTTAGTCCGTTTAGACTTTATGAGGGAGCTCGTGCACTGCTGCTTTGGGAGACCGGTTTTAAGTGGTCTTGGTTCTGGATCTTACCGTACCTCACAACTAGATGCACACACAGTTAAAAAGGCAAATGGAGATGGAAATAACTCTGCAGTCTCTCAGGAAGGAGTCAACAACTTTATGTTTTTCTTAAATGAGTTTCTATAATTTTAGAGATGCTGTGGTAAAGAAACGTCTGCAACTTGTGAGGAGTTTAAGTTTAAAAGCATTAGTATGTTTAATAGCACCCCTAGTGGTGGATATTATCTGTCAATATTTACTTATAGAGGTCTTAAACCTGAAAGTAGAGTCATTGAATGTATTAAACACCGTGAAGAAGATTTGCTGAAATGTATTAAGTGTTAGGTGAGTGAGGGAATTTCAGGTCACAACCACACAAGGAAATGAGTAGAGTCTGTGCCAGCGGGGGATGGACGAGCGCTGGCTGAAGAGTGATTGACCAGGCCAATGGGTCAAAGGTCGGGAGGAGCTTATTGGAGGTCAGCCAATCACTGAGCTGATACGAGACATTTTCAACCAAAAAGACAGCGTTTCTCAGGAGAATCTTCAGACCTCATGACTTCCATTTTACAGCTAACCGGATGTCGTCGGACTGTTGGATGGAACACGTTTGGTCTCTGCTCCATGGAACATATTTATATTGATAGTGTGATTCAGTTTGTAACTGTTTTGGCTTCTGTTAATTATTAAATACTTTTTGATTAGAACTTGAACCAGCTGATTTTTGGCACTGCTTTGTTGAGCAGAGCGGTGGGGCGGCCTTCCATTGTCTGCAAGAGTCTGGACCCTAACAAACTGATCATTATTTCCATTATTTATTCATTTGGTGATTTCTTTCTTATTTAATCCATGTAAAAAAATAGTAAAGAATTATCATTTTCCAAATCCAATTTGTTTTTTGGACCGACAGTCGAAAACTCAAAAGGTATTTGTTTGAATATGATAGAAGCCAAATATTTACATTTTTAGGAGCCTGAACCAGATTAGTTTTTTAAAAACTTTTTTTTCATAAATTTTGCTTTAAAATTACTTTGATAATAAACATTAATACAGAAATGCCAAAGATATGTTAAAGGTCGTTTAGAAACTGAGTTTAAACTTGCTTACAGTTATTTTATGGCACTCTGAAATGAATAGTTTTGGGTTTAACATAGAAGCTAAAGTAAGAGAACTTACACATTTTATACTGTCGATTAAACGCCTGTACCTGCACTCACTGGCAAAATAACACCTCAGTAACTTTAACACACACACTCTCGCACACACTCCAGGAAGGGCGTCAGCGTGAGGTGACTACACGGTGGTTCGCTCAGGCCGATAAGAACACATGCCTCTGCTGTCCGTCTGCTGCTGCTGAAACACCCTCAGCAGGACATTCACCATGTTCCAACTCCAAAACACACACACAGAGAACACTATTCCATCTGCTCATATGATGTTGAAAACGTTATATAAAAAAGTGGGAAATCCATAAATGAGTAGTAAAAGCTGAATGATCGAAAAACTGAAACGTAAACGATGAACTAATCTGGAAAGACATCGATCACGAGTATCACTGAAGCTGTAGTTTCTGGACAGAATACAATCATATTATAGAGCCTGTACTATTGTGGCCCGTGACGATTCTGTTAAAGCTATGAGTCTTAAATCTGTTTAATTAAATAAAATATACAAACAGCTTAATATAAACTCAGCTGACCTTTTGAAGTCAGTTGGTTTTATACAGAGGTGAAAAGAAACAAAGTACTTTTCCTCAGTACAGTATTTGAGTGAAACTTCGAGATGTATTTCCATTTTATTATGTATACTTCTATTCTACTACATTCAGAAGAAGTACTTTTAACTCCACGACATTCGATTCATTTTACCGTCAAATACAAATAATCAATGTGGTACAATTTAAGTGTTAATGATCTTCTAGCGCGAGACAATCTTTAACTTCTGTCTCGGCTGAATAAATGGAGTTTCCTCTTAGATTCCTGTGACACGGACGGCTGATGAACCGCCTTCAAGGAAGTGCTTCACACCTGAATATCGCCCAAAAGGAATGAACGCAGATTAAGAGCCAGCTGAAGATAATGGGCTCATTAGGTTTCCTAAACTCAGTGCTGTCTAACCGGTGCGCGCTTCCATCCACCTGTTAGGTCTGAAAACAGGTCGGAAGTTCAGTTTAGCTCTCACTGCTCCACTAAATGTACAAGCCGCCATATTAATAGTTTGTTTTTCTTACTGTATCTGCAGGTAAAGCCTGCTTTCCAGATGATTTGTAGTCCGGCAGACTCATCTTGACCAGTCCACGAGGTAGCTGGGAGCTGTGGTTTTTTGTAATGCTCGACAGGTAGGAGGCAGGGGGCGGGGCCTAAACCGGACCTGATGCTTTAACGCTGAGAAGATGAGTCACTCGGTAGAAATGTCTTCGACCGTTTCCACGGCTTACTTCTGAATCACGTTAGTTTCATTATGCTAATTAACAATGAGAATGCAGAAACACACCTGGACTGACTAACGTGTATTTACTCATAACGCCCGTTTTGTTTGCATTCATTTTAATCTTTGTTTTGAACGTTCCGTGACTAATGTGTTCAACGGCGTAGGACGTTACAGATATATGATGCACTTGCAACATAAACAAGAAAAGTCATAATCCTGGTGTAATGAAAAAGTTTATGAATGTAAGAATGCATCAACAGCATGTTGGATAACTTACTCTATCACTGTACATGATGCCTCAAGACAAAGTTTGACCAGTTAACAGAATATAAATGAAGGCACTTCAGTGGAGTGTGATTGACTGTAGCAAAATCGACATGTTCAGCTTAAAGGCTACATGGTACAGTCAAATAAATCTTATTGGCCAATTTTTACAAAAATAATTTGAAGACATTTTTATGGTAAAACCTGTAGAGTGCTGCGAGTATGAGATTTTATTTCTACTGTGCAAAATCATCTTTTTTAGCATTAAATGTAACATTTGAATTTCTAGCAAACTGACTTTCCATTGCAAAGGACAATCTGAACACTAACAAAGTGACCACAACATGGGAAGTGTATTTTCCAGAATTTATTGTTTTTCTACACAAAAATCAGAGGGTCTTGCTTCCATCTGGTGGCACACTTGGAAACCTGTCAACGACAAAAAGAAAATCAGAATTCAAAACCAGCTTCCAAAGTTGATTTGATCGCTCTGACCAACACAAGTTATTCCTTTGGTGTATTTATGACAAAACCAATTAAATGTCTCTAACCTAAGGCAAAACTGCTACATATTCAGTATATTAAGAAATGTTGAAAAAACAACGACTTAGTGTTATTGGTAATTTAGTTGCTGTTGGAGTAGATCCACCTTGCTTTGGTCTTCATAGGCATGTTATTGACTAATCTGATCTTGTGCTGCTTCAACCCTTCTCAGACAAATGCCTCGAATGTCTTCAACCTAAAGGGACTCTCTGCTCTGAGGGACTGGAGCAGAACCACAGAACGTG